CTCGTAAATTTCTATCTTTTGCTGTACACAAAAGAAGATAATGTAGGTAACCAAACAGCCATTGACTTCTCTGTTTTTTTGTTTTTTTTCTTCATACTATGGAAGTCAATGGCCACCAGCAACTATTTGGTTACCAACATTCTTCAAAATATCTTCTTTAATGTTCAACAGAAGAAAGAAACTCAGACAGCTTTTGGAACAACTTGAGGGTTAGTAAAGAATGACAGAATTTTCATTTTTGGGTGAACTATCCCTTTAAAGAGTTCTTAAGCCACAGATTTATTTCTCTGAGTTTAAATAACAAAGATTAAAAAGGTACAATTTAGTCAATCTTCTGCAAGAGTTATGTGTGCTGACTAAACAAAAACTGCCACTCAGAGTACTCAGACTGAAGTCCTAATAGTAATGGATGCGTCCTCTCACACACACAAAGCAGTGGAACTTTCCAAATTACAGCTGGCCAGTTTTTCTCAGGAACAGGACCATGCGCGCACACACTTTTACAGACATAGTGGTAGAGAGGGTGCATATATTTATACTGTCTGGAATATGTGTGTGTGTGAAAAGAAATGTACTGAATGGGTATAATGAAAAAGACGAACATGACTGACTTTACCTTTCAACAAAAGTAGCTCTGCAAACATAACCTGCGTCTAATAAGAAATGTTGGATGAATTATTGAAACACTCCACAGAATAAAACACTTTATTTAACGAATCAGTGTCTTGGCATGCATTCTAGCTAACTCAGTGCTGAGACCACAGAGTTATGGAGGTTTCACCTGACAGATTAAAAGAGAGTAACATTAGAAAGAAGCCTTAACAGCAGTGGATTAAATGCTGAATGTGTGGCATATGTCAAGATTTCAGTGAGAGATATTATTGTGAATCATCTCAAATGCTGTGCAGCTATTAGTGATGTAATGTTTATACATCTATAAATGTGTGCCATTTCACTTTAGGCAGTATATTCCTCTATTACCGAGTTCTTTTAGGAAAATATGCGTTCATAGAAACAGTTAAGCCGACAGTCCTCAACAGACATGCTGTAATGAGGCTTAGGGAGGAACATCCATGGAAATCCTATACTCCAATTGTGAGTCCATATTGATAGTTTATAAACCACTAAAGGCCTGCACAGCAGGTGGCTGTTGCAATTCTGTGTAGTGTGCAAAATTTACTCCAGTATATGTTTTGTATTCATCAAGTCTTACTACATCAAAAATGTTAATGCAACCCATACATGTTAACAAGGGTGCTTAGAGTTTCAGTCAGTCTCCCATCCTGGTCTGTTTGTCAGTTTTAGAGAAGTTTGGGCATTTTTCCTTTGGCGAGGCTGAGAGACCAGCACAAACCATCAGTCTAAACCGCTGAAGACCAGCAAATTGTTATTTTGTAATTTGTTATTGTTATTTTTTTAACAATATTTTGTAGATTTTTAAAAAAGTGAAAGTGACGTGATGTGTGGCCAAGTATGGTGTCCCATACTCGGAATTAGTGCTCTGCATTTAACCCATCCAAGTGCACACACACAGCAGTGAACACACACACACCCGGAGCAGTGGGCAGCCAATGCTGCGGCGCCCGGGGAGCAGTTGGGGGTTCGGTGCCTTGCTCAAGGGTCTCACCTCAGTCGTGGTATTGAAGGTGGAGAGAGCGCTGGTTATTCACTCCCCCACCTACAATTCCTGCCGGACCTGAGACTCGAACCTGCGACCGTTAGGTTACAAGTCCGACTCTCTATCCAGTAGGCCACGACTAAAAAGGAAGTCTCACCTCAGTCGTGGTATTGAAGGTGGAGAGAGCGCTGGTTATTCACTCCCCCACCTACAATTCCTGCCGGACCGGAGACTCGAACCTGCGACCTTTAGGTTACAAGTCCGACTCTCTATCCAGTAGGCCACGACTAAAAAGGAAGTTGTCTGCGAAAAAGGCAACTTATACAGTTTTGCAATCATTATGCAAAAAATATTTGACTGTAGAATTCTACAATTTATCAATCAGAATTATTCCCCGGACAGAAAGGTGTAGAACAGTCTTAAATTGCGAACTAATTTTTATCATAAATTGTACTGACAAAATTAATGTTGAGATTCTTTCTAAACTGTGAAAATTCTAAAAAGAATTTTCAAGATTTCATTTCGACCTGCTGTCTTTCACTTGTTGTTTTGTGTGTGTATTGGTGTACTGGTTTAGATGTAAACTGGATGAAACCGTTAAATGTGTATACTGTTGGATGTGAGTAGCGTTGGGACCAGTGGTGTAGTCGGGGCCATACGCAAGTATACGCCGTATGCTTACTTTTTTCCCCGGGATGTTTGCGTATTACGACTTCTAAGGATCAATATTCGCGTATACCCTCGGTATACCCACTTGTTTTGTTGCTTCGCAAGTCCGTAATCTACTGTCATGTAGCTTCCCCTTTAATGGTGTCCCATACTGCTGTGTGAAATTCGTGATTCTTTGTAATTGGTGCAATATCACTTCTGTCATTCAACGCCGCTCATTGTCGCTCGCGCTTGGTGTTTTGAGCCGCACTGAGCGCAGTTCTCGTGCTGCAACAGTGGATACACGCCGTAAGGAAATATGGTAGTGAGTGCACGGATTTGAGTGGAGGCATTCTCTCGTTAGTAGCCTATCGAAAAAGGAAGCCCAATATGATAGTGCGGCCACGACGTGAAACAATTACTTTCGAGTATTTTTACTAACACCAAGACCAGAGCCTCCGTTACATAAGATATAGATCTAACAGAGGAATGAGCCGTATGCAGTGGGTAATAGTAAACCACTTTTTTCTTTAGGACTACACCACTGGTTGGGACATTAGTGGAAATCCACAGATCAGATGCAGATGCGAGTACAGAATTCTCACTCTTGCTGTGCAGAAATCCATCCACACAAAAATAATCACAGTTGATAAGAAGAGTTCCTCCCATCCAACAAATGAGAAGACAACATAATCCTAGTGTGGGCATGATAAGAGAACTTCAACTGAAGCATTTGTCAGATATGTGCAAAAACATTTACCTTCATGAGACTAAGACGGTGCCTCTTCAAGTACAGTATGTGTAGACATTTCCATAAACACATTTCTGGTCTGAAAAATGGACATAGGTTGTTCTCTTTTGTTGGATCACTCAGTTGGAATCACATCTGCCAACATAAAAAATGTATAATTCAGATAACTCGTAGCCCTTGGCTCAGACTTAACTATTATTTGTCAAAACCTTTTTTGCTTAGAGTGAACACTGAAACAGTCACATTATTTATTAAGGAAAAGGAGCAAATGCATACCAAACAAAACTTCGTTGGCCAGATTATTAGTTATTTTTTGATGTTCTACAAGAGAACTAGGCCTGTCACGATAACAACTTTTTGTTGTGCGATATATTACCCCAGAAATAATTGCGATAAGCGATATTATTGTCATTTTAAAGACCCTTTTATGCCACTGAATATATAATCATAATGTAACAGCATACACATAATGCAAGAAGGCCTACACACTTCCAAATGACAACAAACATTTAATTCTTAAGAATATTTAGATCATGGAAATTAAGTATCAAAATATTAGATACCTTAAAAAACCTGAATAAATAGTAAATAAACATTTTCTAACAAAAAGTGCAAAGTAACAAGTAGAAAAAAAAAAGAAAAAAAAACTTATGGAGATTTTTCCATCTACAGATTTTTCCGACCTTCTTTTCTCTGTAAATTAAGGCTGCACACTATTGCTGAAAAACACAATCACTACTCAGCAGTCAGATGTCCGTATGCACAAAGGCACAGATCCCTAAACAAGGCCATATCTGCAGATGAAACTTTGTTTGTAGAAGCTTTTTTTAAATTTGAACTAGCACCTCATGACTACACCACGTTATGTACGAGAAGCTGCAAAAGACACAGGCGCAAGTGGAATGTAAAAAACATGGTGACATTAATTTAAGTAAATATAATGGGCGATATATTGCGTCACTAAAAATTATTGAGGTCATGTACATATATTGCGCGATAAGTCGATATATTGATTATTGCGACAGGCCTAAAGAGAACACCAATCAACATTGGCAAACTAGTAAAGGGCATACATTTTTTTGACCCTGCGAGTAAATTATTTTTACCACTTGTCTTTTATGTATAACCACCATTGTGATGCATTTTTATGTACTTCTACCAACGTCAATCAATCAATCAATTTTAAAAATCTCTAGATAAAGGTCCCAAATTCTAAAATAAAATTGACATTTTGGTCTTTTACTTGTAAGCTATTTGGGGCAGTAATGATTTTTTATTGTACCTGCCAACATTTTCACTAGCCCCACTGCAAACGAAACAGTTTTCCAGAATCAGAACCAGAATCAGTTTTTATGTTTTCCAATGCATTTTTATATTTCCTATAAATATTTGTATTTTTCATGTTTTCTTTACAAAACATTTTGTTCACTAAAATTATTTTTTTTCTTCAGAAAACATGCAACAAACTATAATTGTTGAGAAAGCAAAAGAAGAAAATAGAGTTGCATTACAGATTTCAGCTACACTGTAACTCCATTAAATCATAAACACACTTTTTTTTTAAAATTGGAAAACAATGCTATACAATACAAAAGATTAATAACTGGTTTTATGTTCTTTTTAACAAAGTCATAATGAATACAATTGCACACAGTTGTCAAATGTATATATGATGTACTCCATATATAACTAGACATTATGTGCATATAGTCCCATTATACCTCAAACTCTGATAACAGTTTCTGTTAGTTATTTATGGTAACAACTGGGTATTTTCATGAAAACACTCCATATATGCATTAAAGAAAAGGTTTTAATAAATGAGCCAGGACAGACAAATTGATCAAGGCAACACATATAATTTCAAGTGTTAACATAAATACTAAAATAAACATTTTGAACTGCACATACTGTCATATGCAGTCATATGCAGCACATTCAAGATTAAAGAAAGTTATTCTCCCCAGTATAAATATATAAAACAAAAGAATTCTGTGTTCCAATATATCCTACATATTCACTGTGGCACTGGCACAAGCTGAGGCTACGGATTCAATTGAAGTAAACCGAGGCTTTATTATACTCAAATGTAGTCTAACTGAAAAGTTCTTCTAGAAAATATAGGCATACAGTATGTGCTCTATTCAACCTGCTTCAGCACGTGTAGCTGCTGTCGAACAACAGCAGTATTGAAGGAAGAAAGGAAGCGAGGTAATTCCCCTCTGAGAAGTTCTTCTAAAGGTACAAACTGCAGAATCTGCCTCCCAAGCTCAAGCTGAACTTTTTTCATCTTCTCCAAAACGTCCCGGAGAAAGTCCAGCAGCCGGGGTAGTGCTGATGGTGAAGAGAAACCTACACACACAAGAGCAGCAGGAGGCCAACCAGATGAGCAGCGGAATGTGATGTAACGGAAGCACAGCTGGAGTGTGAAAACCAGGCCGGAGGTGAAGCGTGTTAAGACAGAACATAAGGGAATCACCAGGGTTGATCCCTGATGCTGTTTCTGCAGAGCAAAAAGCACAGTGTTCAGAAGCTCAAACTGATAGTCTGGTTGTCCATCGTGCAGTGTGGAATCCTGTACCTCACAACAGGATGGTCCTTGCAAAAACTCTGGCTGCAATTTAACGCCTACAAGTGTGCCGTCACACCAAGACTGGCTTGCCAGTACCAAACAAGATGTCACATCAGGATGGCTGCAAATCTCAGATAAGATGCCTACAGGGGAGTCGATGCTGCAGGAGCTGCATACTAGCAAAGCTCCGTCAGAATGATTCGCCGCTTTGACCCTCAGGTTCTCTTCCAGAGCTTCATTCAGGAAGTCTAGCATTTCTTGGTCACAGAAGGTGGAACTGCAGACTTTCGGCAGGGCAGCTCCCTCAAGGGCAAACCAGGCTCCCAAATCACACTCATCCAGTGGGCCACTAAGTACATTCTCACACCCTTCTGTCCCTCCACAGTGCCTCTCTATGAACGCCCCATAATTTCCTTGGGCAAGGCGCTGCTTCCATCCCTGAAGTTCCATCTCCTTGCGCTGATTAAAAGAGCCCATTTGCTTCCTTTCACAGAGTTTTACCCATCTGGCCACACCACCACGGCAAGCCCAGCTTTTCCGAGGGAGGTAGTGAACATTGAAACGTTTCGTATAAAACTCTGCAGCATATTCCCTGAGCTGCTCCAATCGCCTGCGCTGTTCTGCGCTCATGCATATAAAAAGCTTGAGGTTCTCCTGGATTGTGTTAACTTGCAATGCATGGAAAAAAGTGCATATCTCTTCATGCTGACTTAGAAACGAGTCTGGAATGCAGCGACGGGGAAAGAGCGCCGCTGTGGATGCCAAGTCTGGTCCGTAATTACGGATTAACTTTGAGAGCAATGGCCGAATTTGTTCTTTGGCCTTATAGTCCAAGCACACTATATACAGTTCTGAATTTCCAGACTTGCTGGTGCCTGGCTTGAAGACGTTCACGGAACGGAAACAGCATGCAAGGAGATACAGCAGACAGACAGATGAGTGTTCAAATAGTGTGAACATCTTCAGGACAAATGAGCCTCCGGTTCCTAACAGCAGAAGAGCACAAACGGCTTCGCAATATTGAAGCGGGGCAACTAATCTCTCCTGTTCCCCTGGGTCCCCCTGACAGTCAAAGCTTCCATCTGCTGTAACCAAATCAACACTGTGCATGTTGCTCACAAATCTCGGCAGTTCCAGCAGATGCTTCTGAAGCATTATGTCACCTGTGTTGTCTGATCCAAAGAACCACCAAGGCAGAGTGTGTGCGATGAGTCTGTCATCTGTAATAGTGCGACCACGTCCGTTGGCTTCATAGTATGGATTTAGAGTGTTCGCAATCCAGCTCCAGTCACAGTGCAGGCCACTCGTCTTGAGGAAGTGATTTAGAGCTGATATGAAGGCACCAGGGGCTTCACACAGGTGTATGGAGTTCAACTCGCCACTCTTCAATGCATTGTCAGGCAGAAGTTTAAAAGTCCCTAGGATCTCATAGAACTTGGCCCAAGCCTGGGTGCACAGCTCTGCGTTGGTTGTGGAGCGAAGGTGGGCTGTAACACTGCCTGCTCGGTTGGTGAAACAAGTATGCTGGTGCCATACTGAGAGGTCTTTATCGCTGAGTTGATTCTTCACTTCATTTAGTGATTGTTTCAGAGCCTGCAAACGTGGGTGACTCGCATGAGGATCACAGAGCACCACACTTGGGTCAGGCAACGTCCATTCTCCTCCAGCAGGGGAGGCATAACTTCTGACCTTGTTGAAGAGCTGGTGAATCTCCACACGTATTTCCTCGTTACATGTTTCAAAGGCATCTGATTTTTCTGGCGCCGTTCTTTTTCTCACTCCCCGGCCCCGGTTCATCCTTCAAAACTATGTTTGGCGACATCAATCATTCAAAAACTGTAAAAAATATAAGGACAGTCAATCAAGATTTTCATAAGCACTATACATGGCAGAATATGAAGAGTTTAAAGTGATAGTTCACTCAAAAGTGAAAATTATTTCATCATTTACTCACTCTCATGTGGTTCCAAACCTGTATGACTTGTTCATCTGTGGAACACGAAAGACAAATGGTAACATTTTTGGTTACCATTGACTTCCATTGTATGGGGGAAAAAAACATTACACAAAATATATTTTTCTATGTATTACAGAAAGTCAGTCATACAGGGTTGGAATGACATGACTGCGAGTAAATGATGACAGATTTGGGGTAATTTTTGGGTTAACTATCCCTTTAATTTGAACACTAGTAAGCATTTAAATGTTTCTAGTGAGTTCTTATAAACAATACTAAGCCATATTTGCTTTAACATGACAGTGATGCTCAGTAAGTCTCATAAAGGCTATTCTGCATGCATGCTCACATTATTTATGTATAAAGTGCACATGTCAATGCAAAACCCACAGGCAAAGGGTCAAACAGCACATTATCTCTCTGATATGGTCTGTCAGAATTACTTGGGATGATTATCTATACCACGATATATCTAGAATAATGTTTTAAGACAGTTTATGCGATCTGGGGTTACAATTTGTGAAACTGAAAAGCTTAGGTCCTGTAACTAGTCAGCTGTGTCATCATTTTAAAACAATTTTTGCCTTCACTGGTTAATTTTTAATGGTGCTACGTGCTAGAAATTGATTCTAACATTAAATAGAATTACACATATATAATGTAGTCTCTAAATTAATATTAGTCACAAAAACTTCATGCACTACAATTACAAATAATTCGCAAAAGGCGGTTTAAGACGGAGTGTAGCCTGTCACACCGTAGTACATGACATTCAATTACTCAAGGAAGTTGACAACTACCCATTTACTTCGAGTGATGCAATTCCCTGCGTTCAGAGAAGCTTGTGATCTGCTCTGTGTTTTTACAGACCACCAAACGCATGACACATTAGACATAACAACTGCGGAAAAACCCCAATGTGTTCAAATATTTCTGAGTACGCTTGTTCTTGTCGTGGATTGTACAGTTTCTGGCTACTAGCTAGCAAACAAGCTAACGTGGCTACGTATCTTAGAAATGTAAATAAAAGCTTCGTTAAAAAAGTATAGACTTTGATTCATGATTCTTATTATGCTATTGTATTAACCGCTGCATTTTCTTCACATCAACCGAATATCCGACAGTTGACAGATGAACACTATCACTGCTATGGGAGTGTTATGGCTAGTTTGGGGAAGATTTGAAGGAAAATACGATGTGTCGATTACAGCCTGATAAATTGAACTGGATCACTAAAAACCAACTGTATAGTATTATTTTCCTACTTCGAGTTAAAGTTTATCATCGTTGTCAAGATACTAACAGAATGAGATCTGCCTGTGCTTACCAACTTCAGTACGGGTTCTCGCTTCCTCGCGCAGGGTGTGTTGTGCAGCGCGACACTCGCTTACAAGCTCGGCTGTGACAGGATGGGGAGTGTATGAAGGTAGAATGACGTCAAAAAGATTTGCATACGCAGGGTAATATTTGTGGAAGTGTATATAAGACTGTAAGCGTAAATTAAATTTGCATGCGCAAGAGAAGCTTTGTAAAGGTGTAAATCGCGTTTCAAGCACAAGAAAAAATTATTTGTAACAGTAAAATGCTGCAAATAATTTTTTCTTGCGCTTGAAACGCGATTTACACCTTTACAAAGCTTCTCTTGCGCATGCAAATTTAATTTACGCTTACAGTCTTATGTACACTTCCACAAATATTACCCTGCGTATGCAAATCTTTTTGACGTCATTCTACCGTCATAGAGTGACTTTCAGCAAGAGACGCTTTGTATTTTTGTTAATGTGAATGCTAAATTGAGATGTTGAAATAAAATTGTTAATGTTTTTCTGCATTTATACCCCCCCCCTCTCTCTCTGTGTAACGACTATAGTGAGAAATGACATAACACTAACATCGTTGACTGATCTCATCTATCTATTGGCTTTCTAATGCATACTAATTTACTCTCTTACCGCACTTTTACACAGCTTACACACACACACACACACACACATTTATAGGGACATCCCATAGGCATAATGTATATATAGCTTGTACAGATATATAGCTTGTTTCCTCATGGGTACAAAAAATGTCCCCACAAGGTCAAACTTTATACCATCATTGTGGGGACATTTGGTCCCCATAATGTAGGGACTACCAGGACCACACACACACACACACACACACACACACACTGTACTGAAAGCAAAATTCATATTCTTCATATGGCCACAATCTTACGAAGACAACCAGACAAATAGGTTCTTTAATCATGTTTATTTTGTATTCTGTGTATTATGTGAGTACTTGAATTCTTTGATAATATCTGTTATGTTGCTGACTATGACTATATTATGCATACAGACTGATTTTGTTTGTCCTTTATCTTTACATATTCTAATCATCATATCCATAAATAACATGCTGTTACTAGCGTTCAAAATTTGGGGTCAGTGCCATTTTTTTAAAGACATTAAGGAAATAGTTCACCCACAAAATTAAATTGTCATCATTTACTCACCCTGTTGTTTCAAACCTGTATGAATTTCTTCTGCTGAACACAAAAGAAGATATTTTGAAGAATGTGTAACCAATCTGTTTTTGGTCCCCATTGACTTCCATAGCATTTTTTTTCCATACTGTGGAAGTAAATGGGGACCAATATTTTTTATATATATATAAAATCTTACTGACCTTAAAATTTTAAACAGATATGTGTATATATTTGATATATGTTTATATAGATATAAGCATATAGGTATGCTTTATGAGTACAATTTGCTATTGCATTAAATAGTGTGTATATCTGTGTTTTATGCCATTGAATGTCTTAAACAAACCCCTCTCACATATAAAACAGTTTGCACTATTTGTTAAGCAACATCCACTGTCCTTTTCTTTGATTTATAAAACAGCATGTCGTACAACAAATTGAGTTTTAACCAACAAAATGTATTGAATTCAAATCATGTCACCCATAGTAGAAAATGGGGGTAAAATATTGCCAGTAAGCGATAGGAATGTGTGTGAGCAGAGATAAGAGCGATGCAGAGAAATTTCCACTGGCTTAGCTTATTAGAAGTATGTGGCCATATAACTGCCTGTGCAAGTGTGAATTTAAGGCACAGTAATCTGTCAGGGTCAGATCATTACTATGGAGATGACAAGCTGCTCGCATGAATGGAGAGGTTTATTGCCATGGTGACAGGCAGATTTTGACCCCATTGCTCTTTTACAGTAAATGCCCAAGAAACAGAAAAAGGGTCACTGGAGAAATCCAGACCTATGTTTAAGGTGACAATGAAAGGAAAGAGAATGAAAAGAAAGAGCGATGGTGCACCAAAACACTCTAAGAAATATAGACATATAGATATTGTTCCTATGCCAACTAATTCTGAGACATCAATGTCGAAATGAGCAGCATTTAGATGACTGGAATACAGCTGAGCTGATGTGTGGGTGCTGTCATGCATAAAAGTACACTATATATGTGCTCAAGTGTATTCATCGACGTGAGGGCCCTTGTGCTTGCATGTGCGTTCAGCTGGCTCATATGGCTGTTCATTCATGTGTATGAGAGGTGCGTTAAAGTGGGCACGCTTATGTTGATTAGAATGCAGAATGCTAAGAGACTGATAAAGACAAGAAGGGTAATAAGAGAACATGTTATGGTTCTTAATTGTAATGTCTTATTGCTATAATTGGAAAGTTGCTGGCTTCATCCGCACAAAGAAAGAGAGCCATGAGCTATCACCACTGTGCCTTTGAGGAAGGCATTTAACCCCAGGTTACTCCAGCGGGATTTTCCCTGTAATAAATATACTGAAAGTCACTCTGGATTAAAGTGCCTGGTAAATGACTGCTTACTTACTTATAGGGGTCTATACCTTGTTCACTGTAACACGGTGAGTCTCTAAGAGACTGTTAATGTGGTGATCAGTGTTCTGTTCTAGTACGTGTTCAGATTTGTACCCTGCATGTTCTGTAGGACTGTACCACTGCTAAAATGACGATGAGAGCATGTTGAGAAAAGCTCTTTGCTGTAAACTGCAGCACCTCATAATGTCAGCGTCAGAAAGGTTGCTCCCTGTGGGCCTGTGCTTTATAGGGTCTAACCTGAAATGTTAATTTTCACAAAAAATTTTATTAGCATCTTTATAATGTCATGTTTTTGGCTTTGTATTTTCCCCTTCTTTTAAAACCAATCGGGGGAAAAAAAAAAGAATTTTTGAAGCATAAAGCCTGAAATAGTATTCCAGTACTCCAATAATCTTTGTTGCATTTTTTTACAACTTAAAAAAATACATTTTACATCTCTCTCTCTCTCTCTCTCTCTATGTATTTATGTATATATTGCATGTATTAATCTTAAATAGAAAACTTTTTAAAGGTTGCTCCCTGTGGGCCTGTGCTTTATAGGGTCTAACCTGAAATGTTAATTTTCACAAAAAATTTTATTAGCATCTTTATAATGTCATGTTTTTGGCTTTGTATTTTCCCCTTCTTTTAAAACCAATCGGGGGAAAAAAAAAAGAATTTTTGAAGCATAAAGCCTGAAATAGTATTCCAGTACTCCAATAATCTTTGTTGCATTTTTTTACAACTTAAAAAAATACATTTTACATCTCTCTCTCTCTCTCTCTCTCTCTCTATGTATGTATGTATATATTGCATGTATTAATCTTAAATAGAAAACTTTTTGAATGTTCTGTGAATTGTACAGTACATCACTATAGTTGCATATTTTTTGTTTAATATTAGGATTTTTATGACTCTTCAGTCACACTCCTCAGATAATTGGCTGATCAAGCGTAGTGTGTGAGTGTGTGTTACTATACATACTCTCTCCACACTCATGTGTTTGACAGGTAATTGATTTAGACACGCGTTTGCAGTCTCTGATCATTTAGTTTCCAGCTTAAGCTGAATGCAGATGTCCTAACAACATGACAAATTGGACATCACTGGACTTCTGTTCATCACATAGCTGAATGGATAAGGAAATAACTGCTCATCAATGTGGAAATGATTTGTAAAGAAAAGTGCTCATCCTGAAGCTTTGATCACATATGCTTGCTGCAGGCTGAGCTTTTACTAAACGGTTAAAATACAGCTTGACATCACAGCATGTCACACTTCTACAACACATGAAACAACAACTCCCCCAAGTGGCCTTTTCTACTCCTACGTCTACTGCTTATGTCTAAGATTTAATAGACTTTTTGGTGACTTAAAAAAAAAGATATTTACATATTCTTGACTGTGTCACATTTGCGTTTTTTTTAAAGGGCTCCGGTATATCAGAACGGTTAGGCTACACTTTATATTGTAATTACACTCTATTTAAGTTGAATGTATATTAATTTAAAATATACAAGCTATCTTATTGATGTTTTCCCTACAGCTTACATTATTGCATTTGCTGCACTAGTTTTGGTTTTTCCCACTTCACTAGTTAAAAAGAGAAAATAATTCTTCTTTTTTTTTAAAAACCGATTTAACAGAAAAAGTGATAATTTCACATAACAGAGTTGAAATACTTGAGTCACAAAATAATGGAAGAGTAACGTAATGAGAGTTGCTTGTTCATTTAATTGTCTTTTGAGCTGTCTGTAAAAATCTCACGATTGGGTAACATTGCAGTTCACTTGAAAAACAATTTAAAGGTTCCTGTCCAGCTTTCATGTAAGTTACCGCCGTTGTAGTTTGAAAGTTATGACCCAAGAGTTGATAATGGCCAACTTTCCTGAGTTTTCCCAGGCAGTCATACAATGGACAATGCAGCGGTCGATAAAAATCCTGCCCCTGGTACGATTTCATTGGTCAGTTAGAGCGACGCGATGTTCTAATTGGCCGTTCCATCTGCCACTCAAATCCACTCTTTATTCTCAAGCACTTCCTTCGCTAACAGTGCATGGAAAGCCCATCAACGGCCAACCCACCGGGCCTGTCCTCTCATGCCCGGAGTCTCCGGTTGTCGTGATGAAGTTGGGTCGTGATTGGGTCGAGCTGAAAGCACAGAAGTCATGATGGAGACCGTTGAGCAGCTGGTGTCTTTCCAGCACATCCATGTGCAACTGAACGGAGGCGCTCCGTGGGGATTCACTCTGAAAGGAGGACTGGAGCACGGCGAGCCGCTCATCATTACTAAAGTAAGACCGGAGTTTACAAAGAGTTAGAAACTCTTACTATATGCTCGTGTGTGTCTTATTGATTATATCCAAACACTTGATTACATTGTGTTGAAAGTTTAAACGCACTGTTTATGCTTGGATGAATTGTAACGGTGCCCTCATGGATGTTTGGGAACTTTGTTAAAACTTAGTGGTGAGGAAATGGCCATGGATATAAACAACAGCAACCTTAAAGCTCTTGCTAAATTACTATTTTCACTAATGGCAGATCATGAATCTCATGAGATCTGTGAATCATTGACTTTCAAGATCCATAAAAACCAAAAGAAATGAAGGAATAATCAATGTTTTCATAAGAGGCAAATTTCTACAGCACACTAACGACATAGCTGAAGTGACCTGGACTTCTTTACAAAGTATTCGTTAGTCATTTACTTTCATGAGTTTTGGTCAAAGTGGTAATTCCTACTAACATCATATCCAAAATCTACTGACAGCTATCTTAAATAATTTTTGTTTTACAGTGATTTTTGTGTGAAATAAGTGTACATTTATACATTTTGTATATGTTTTATTTGCATCACTTGTCATTTAGTTAATTAAATTGCACTTACATTGCCCATCTTGCTCTCTAGAAATTGCATCTGCATTCAAAAGCTGAGTTTATTATTGTTGTTATCATAGGTTGGCATTTAATTTTAGTGCTAAAACTGCAGCTGCTTTTTGGTTAGAAAAAGGATGTGGGATTATGAAAATAAGGCTGTACCAATAATTATCCATTTTAGAGATGTCTCAGGGATCCCTCTGTGCACACCATGACTCTTGCTTGCTGCTTTGAGTCATCAGCTCATTAACTTCATCTTTAGTGTGTAAAACCTACTGGGATTGTGGTTCTACTGTGCAGTAATTTAGATAAAACCCTTGTATGAGGCAGATAGGAAATTACTCATGTTCAATTCATTTTTTTCAACAGAATAATTAGTAATAATGAGTTAAAATGCACACTTCAAATGCATCGTAAGGCAAATAACTGAAAAAGCAACTTTAATTTCTCAAAATATTAAAATAGTTAAGTTCATTTTTTTTTAAATAATTTAACCCACCTATCACTAACAACCATCTTTTCCAACTAGTGTTTTTTCCTCACAGGGGGGTAAGGGGAGGCATGTTTTATTTCTTCTTCCACCCCCCATTTCCTCTCCAATGGCATTTGACCAAAAAGTGTTGATTTAGTTTTCTTAAATGAAGATGCTTTGGGGGGACAAGACCCCCAGAGATCACATTCCCAAACTCTGCCCCCTCAGTCAGTGGGGAGGAAGGAGTGGGGGTCATGAGGGGGAGGCTGGTATTTTTTGTCTGACAGAGGGAAGAAATTAATTTGATTTATGCCTTTTCAGCGTGTCTTAGAAGGAGTTTACAGTTGTTTATGCTGGTGCTCAAAACATCTTGATAACTTGTAATGTGCGTTGAGTCTGGTTTGGCTGTGTAGTTGGTAAAATGTATTTTCTGAGCTCTGCTGTGTTTAATTTAATGTGCTTTAACATTTGGCACTTTAGCAGTGATATTGTCCCTTTTATCACTTCCAGGCTTTTGACATTTACATGTCACTTGATCATTGTTTCTCAATGAATCGCCAGCAGGATCAAAATGCATTCAAGATGAAGATTGCCTTTTAATGATTCTGAGATAAAACTAAAAGACAGATTTAGCAGTGTTGGCTTTTTTTTTTTATATTGTGCAATTTGATTTTAAGTGAAGCACCAGAGATGAGTGAGGTTTTGTAGCTGGCTGGTTAGTTCTCAGTAAGTGTTAACCCCTGGTTTTCTGGGGGTTGAATCATGGCCAATCTGATAACCTCGTATTCACTGGCTGGACTTGTTAACCGCTTAAACTGAAACACATGCTTGGTCCAATGCATAACCCTGCATCTGTATGCATCTGTGGCCACCTGCTTCACTCGCTTGTGAGGACTTTTTTTGGATGTCATCATAAATATGATATACAGAGGCTCCCTCAGCGTTGGATTTCATTGTTTATCTGTGTTTGCATGAGCCTTCTGGGGCACATGGCTCCAGCCGCTGCCACTCACACTGATAGTTTTTCCATCTGATTTGGAGGCAAAGCACAACCTGCATGTTTGCGTGTTCTGCTCTCTGATCCTATCTTCCATCTTTGCACCCTGAGGGCATTATTTGGAACCCCCCAGTGGTCTCGGTAGACATTTATCTCAAACAGCAAACATAAGGACCTGGTGCCCAAGGCCAGACACAACACTACCCCCCCAGGTGTTCAGCATATGCTCAAATTAAAATCCCATGATGGGTCATTCTGACCTCAGCCAGCAGCAAGAAGATACAATGGTATCAAGATTTATCAACAACAAACAGTGACTGGACATATTAGGTATCTTTTGTGGAATGTTAAAGTCTGAAAGTTGGAATTAAAATGGACTCAGATGGAATTCAAATTAACTGAATTGATCTTACATCCCTAATTTTGAGTTGAACATTTTTAGGGGTTTCAAAGCAACTTTCCAATGCATGACAAAACACTGCCAGACTTGTGATCTTCAAAATTGTGGTGAAAATGCATGTAAACCATTTGTTTACAAAGAATGCTTGGTTATTTTCCACAGTTATGCCTGTTCAATCCCCGCCCCCCCCCAAATCCTCAAAGGCTTTTGCATTGAAATGGGCATTGATTGAACATGAAGAACAGGTTGATTTATGTATAAAAACCTAATTGTTGCTGCTTTTTCCCCCCTCACCACTTTGTTAATCATCCCTCCCTCACATTCCCTCTCTTTTTTTGTTCTTCTGTTAAAGTGGAGATGGAAACATTGTGCATTTTCTTGTGTGCTATGAAGTTTATGTAGACCACATGGCACTCCAGTCATCCCTCTCTTCCCACTCCTAATCGGTCAGTGGAACTTATTCTCAGGCGCTGGAGTTTTTGAGGTGAAAGAAAGAAGATTTTGGACAGAGAGATGGAAATGTTTTACTAGGGCAAAATGTTAAAGGTGCTGTATGTAGGATTGACACCGAGTGGTTGAACTAGGTATTGCAGTCCAAATTCAAAATATTGGAGAGGGTTTTTTTCACCCGGCCCCTCCTCCTCAGACTTGACGCACACGCAGGTTGCCAGATTGACGACACCAACAGGAACGAGCACACCTGACGATGAATGAAATGAAATATGCTGTGTTTTCTGCCAACTGGCAACCCGGGTCCCGAAATACAATTGGGTAAACTGGCAGTGGGCAGGTTTCACAAACCAAAACAGAGAATGACATTCCGGCCCGGAACGCACATTTTCAAAGGAGAATAACTGACTAGCATTGTTTTTCAGATAAACAAGTATGTTAACTTAGCATGTTTCTTAAATATCTGCAAACATATTATGGTATTTTTATGCTTTAGTAGAGTCAAAAACTTACATACAGCACCTTTAATGTTTTAATGTTTGCTGGCAATTTAAACTCACAGTGCAGTGGAACACTGACTGCTTGTTTTTTGCAACTGCTTTAGTTCCGGAAGTATTTTTTTTTCCATTTATTCCATTTATCCTCTCCATAAATTTTAAACCATGCACTAAACCAAACAGTTCAGAGATTAATCACAACATAATTAACTTTGATTCAAAGCCAGATATTATTTGAAAATTAGAAAAATTATATTCAATTATTTTGAGGAATGAACTACTCATCACATGGAAACACTGCGAGTACTCCAATTTGAAACAAACTAAATATAAATAATTGCAAAATATATAAAATTGACCACAAGTATGAAATAAAATCATTTTATTTTATTTAACTCTGCAGAAGCATATGCCGTTAACAACCTCAAAGTTTATGGTAGGTCTGTCTAGAATTGTTTATACAATTATTGCTAAAAATCCATTGCTCAATGGAGAAAACGAATGGATTTTTGCTTCCAGAACCCAACTGTTGCTCTCTATTCGAAGCTATTTTCCACTTCTACTTCTACATTTTTATCATCCCTTTGTTTAATATGATCTTTGTTTAAAGTGGGATTACTTCCCCAATTCTGTTACTCAGTAACTGCATACTTCTGTTTCTGGATAGCTTCCCAAAGTTAAATCATATCAGTTTTGGACTGCTGTGTGCAGCTCATCAGTCCTAAGAGGTATTGCTTCCTTTTTGCACTGTTATTGCAATTGGATTTAATCGAGTAAATAAATAGTTTCTTTGATTATCTGATAAAAGGCTGTTTGTTTTGAACGATGTGTTGATTGTGGTGAAGTCCACAGCTGGTTATGGGTGTGGGAAGGATCTGATATGTGACAGGAATGTGAGCTTGGCTCCCGTTGCCTTTGCCTTGGGCAGCGAGGCTTTGATGGTGGGAGAGATATTGGGGTCTTATTGCCTGAGCCTCTCCACCACAAACACTCACCAGTGTTTCCACATGGTCTCTTGACAGAGCTGAGAGTGACAGGACTTCTAATCAGTGAGGCATGTGTGCTAGTTGTGTGTTTGTTCTCTGAGTGAATGGTTAAACGGAATAGGAAAGGTTGTAGTATATAGGGACCGACCTGGCAATATGATGCTATAATGGTATCTTTATCATGCTATGATAATATTGGAATTGTTATTCTTTACTCTTTTGAGGTTTGGTTGTAAATGTAAATTTAAAACTCTAAATGGTGGTTGTAATATTGTCAAATGTCATCATGTGAAAAATTTGTGTCACTTTTTTTAGGGATAACTAATTATGCTTTACTTGGGGATAATTGATTGTATCTTTTATTTTGATAGTCTCTTATTTTTATTCTGATTTACACATGTTATGTGATGTTACACAATGTTATTTAAACTCTATTTTTGAAATATTAGAAAATGTTGTAATACTTGAAAATGTTAAAATAAATTAAGAGGAGAAAAAGACAAAAATATTACAAAGGGATTCACAATATATTTGTTATCAGACATTTGATGTGGACAGGCTATCAGACACTTTTTATTTATTTAAAGGTCTCACCAATGTAGGGCTGCGCGA